TTAATGATAATACTCAACAGGGTGATCTGAAGCCAGACGCAGCAACCAGTGCATTGACCATCTTCGAAGGAAAGTTTGCCAGGTTGAAAGAGGATAGAGACAACATTGCTAAAGCTAAAGAAGCTCTCGAACTGAAAGAAGCAGGTATGCCTATATATTCAACAGTTAGCACCATTCTAAATCTTGGCCGTACAAAACCAGACTTGCGTCTCGTAGATTCAGCAGACTTGTTTAATATAATAATGTTTGTTTGCTTCAGATTTGTCTAATCAAACAAATAATTTAATTGTAAGACATGTTTGATATAATAATGTTTGTTTGCTTCAGATTTGTCTAATCAAACAAATAATTTAATTGTAAGATATGTTTGAGATAATAATGTTTGTTTGCTTCAGATTTGTCTAATCAAACAAATGGTTTCATTGTACTGTAAGTCTGACAGTGATGTATATTTTTTTTGAAGAATTGTAGAATAAGATGACATTGCTACCATATTTCTACTATACTGTTTATTGTATTTTACCAATACTACTCGCTAAAAATTATATCTATCTTATTACTTACCTGTATAGGCACATTCACTAACAGTGAAGAGAGAATGCAAGTGGCCTTAGAAGAACTCCAGGACCTGAAGGGTGTGTGGTCAGAACTCTCCAAGATCTGGGAAAGTATCGACGATATGAAGGAAAAGCCTTGGCTTTCCATCCAGCCACGAAAAGTATGTCGCAGTACCAAGTGGGAAGCTAGGATTTGAAATGTCTAAAGCCCTGTTCAAACTATGTGAAAACGTGATATGCCTAAATATAGTCGTGATGACATCACGTCGTGACCATATATAGGCACATCTGACTATATATGGGCATACAGCAGTTTGTTTTCAAATAAAATTTGATAGTGTGGTCAGAATTAACATGATTACAGTTCAAACAGTATCTCTGTTCCTGCTCTAGGCATGGAAAATGTACATATAATGTAATAGAACCTTTTGTGTCAATCATATTTAACAAATAACCAATCAGAACCTACAAACATGTGTACTGTCCCACAAACGTGCATGTTTGCATATGTTTTTACACTGTCATTTTGTGGGACTTTCGCAACAATATTCTAGGGTGGTAAGGGAGGGGGGCCCCTTAGTGGAAAGGTCCATTGCCACTGAACATGAATCTGCATATAAATCTGGCTACACACCGAAACCAGCCAATCATAAGATGAGAAATCAGGATGCTTAAATTTTCAAATTTTCTTTTTATCAACATTTATTATTTCTTTAATCTGGTCCTAGTGGAGAACAGTGCGGCTATTATTATTATTATTATTATTATTATTATAATTTAGAATTATTCTAATAGTCAACATAATGTTTGCATTATATTAATATTGACCATGCATATCTATATTGCTTAAACGGTAGAAGTGCCTGGTGGGATGTGTGGCGCTATATAAATGTTATTATTATTATTGATCTATCATAGATTACTGTAATTGATGTATATTTTGTGTCTCTTATTGTAGCTTCGACAGAACATTGACAGCCTCCTGGCTCAGATGAAAGAACTGCCGGCCAGACTTCGTCAGTATTCCTCCTATGAGCATGTGCAGAAGATGCTCAAAGGTTTTGCCAAGGTAAAAGATTTAAACTATCCTTCTGAAATTATTGTCTTCCTGTTGTAAAGTAGCAAGCTATGTTTTATAAATATAAGATGCCTAAGAAATTGTTGTTTCCCTCTTACTACTATCATATTGTGTTTTGAGTACCAATTAATAATACTGTAATAATAAGAATAAGAATAATAATAATAATTATTATTATATAACTATGTAACATATATTGTAACAAACTGCACCCCTGTCACCTATGGAACACATCCTTAGCTCCCTGTTATTTGGTTAATTAAAGTTTAAAGGCCTATTTTAGTATATAATTCAAGATTAATATGTTTATTTAATGATGATGGTGAACAAAAACAAATCTAAGCCTATTTATTTGTTTGTTTTATTTTATTCAGCATCAGCTCACAACATAGAATAAACAATAGTAACCAAGGTGGAGGAAATTAGGTGAAAGTAGACTTATAACAGTTCTTCCACCTAAACATAAACATAAAACATAATATCATAACATTACAATAAAATGATTGGTTTCCTGTAGGTTAACATGTACATTGTGGAATTGAAGTCTGAGGCCTTGAAAGAACGCCACTGGAAGCAGTTGATGAAGTCACTACGCGTCAACTGGGTTCTAGCAGAGCTGACCCTAGGCCATGTCTGGGATATTGACCTCCTCAGGAATGAGTCCATTGTCAGGGACGTCATCAACATTGCTCAGGGTGAAATGGCTCTGGAGGAGTTCTTAAAACAAGTGAGTTGTTTCATTTCGTTATTATATCATATATTGAGGAGTTGTTAAAGAACAGCATTTATTTTTTTACCATAGCCATTTTGTGTCAATTAATGTGTAAATTTTAATTTTAGTTAAATGTCAGTTGAAACTTCACTAAGATAATAAGACTTAATTTATTTAAAGCATTTTGTGTGTATGTTTGCTTTGTGAATGGATTGCCACTTGGTTTATGTATAGCATCTTGTATGCCTAGAAAATTATATAAAATAAAATGAAAATTTGTGTTACAGGTTCGTGAAAGTTGGCAGTCATATGAACTAGACATGATTAATTACCAGAACAAATGCCGAATCATCCGTGGATGGGATGATCTCTTCAACAAAGTTAAGGAGCACATCAACAGTGTCGCTGCAATGAAACTCTCACCTTACTACAGGGTAGGTATTTTTGTTACGTTACTATTGTTCAGATAACCATTGACTGTGACCTATGACCTAATAATCTAATTTATGCGAATTATTATTTCAAGCATTTAAATAGTTGCTTTCATTATGTGAAAGGTATTTGAAGATGAGTCTCTACAGTGGGAGGAGAAGCTGAACCGCATCAATGCCATCTTTGATGTATGGATCGACGTCCAAAGACGTTGGGTGTACCTGGAAGGGATCTTCACCGGCAGTGCCGACATCAAGCATCTCTTACCTGTAGAGACCCAGCGATTCTCAAGGTATGAGGGAGAGTAAAGATGAGCAATGATAGATTATTTCTAAATAGAATACATGCGATTGGTTAATAATAGAAACGTGCTCAACTTGCTAACAGGTAGTGCTAGTTGGTTCTCACACGGGTGGTAATGGTTAGCATTAACAGTTAGCTCCTGATCCGGATACTAAATTTCTATTGTGAACCTGACCATTCTAGTCTTACTCTGTTACAAGCTTAGATAGTCATGGTCAGCTTCATCTAATAAACTCTCTTTACATTTTTCAGTATCAGCAATGAATTCTTGGGATTAATGAAGAAAGTAGCAAAGTCACCACTGGTCCTTGATGTAGTCAACATCCCAGGAGTTCAAAAAGGACTGGAGAGATTGGCTGATCTTCTAGGAAAGATCCAGAAGGCATTAGGAGAGTACCTGGAGAGGGAAAGATCATCATTCCCAAGGTAAGAAGAAAGTATTTAAGATTATTGTAGCCTTATTACACTGTTAGATATTTATTATTTTAAGACAGATTTAATATTGATCAGATATTTTCTCGATACTTTGCAGATTCTACTTCGTTGGTGATGAAGATCTACTGGAGATCATTGGCAACAGCAAGAATGTAGAGAAACTCCAGAAGCATTTCAAGAAGATGTTTGCAGGCATCGCTGCACTTATCCTGAATGAGGATTCCACCATTGTGAACGGAATCTCATCTCGTGAGGGTGAGGATGTACTATTCAAGACTCCCGTGTCCATCACAGACCATCCCAAGATCAATGAATGGCTGACGTTGGTAGAGAGCGAGATGCGCTTGACTCTCGCTAAACTCCTTGCCTCTGCCGTTGCTGGCATTGAACAGTTCAAGGAGGGTGCTATTAACTCTGAGAAGTATTTGGAATGGGTTGATCAGTACCAGGTAAGTGTCCAGTGACGGATTCAAGAAGGGGTGGGGGGGGGGCACCAAGCCTGGCGCCCATTTTTCAAGATTCTGAAAAGTAAAGAGAATTATATACAAATTTACATCTGACAGTGTAATTTCTGGCCATCTAGAGATGCCATAATCGTAATTTCAGTTGGAACCTGCCTCTCTTCTAGGCCTAGGCAACTGGTTTACAGTTTTTAAAATTAAGATATTTTTTTCCCCCTAATGAGACTTACTTTAAAGAGTATCACTAAGTTTGTTTCTATCCTGTAAGAACCAATCAATCATGGAATTTGTATAGTGCCTAAAACCATAACAAATGTTTAAAGGTGCTTGAACAGCAAATTCTTTATCCTTCTCTAAAAAATGTCAACAGATTCAAGAACTAAGTTAGATTCAATTTTATTTTTCAATTAATTTCTTTTAATGTTTTGAAACGTCTACCTCTGTGTAAAGTATATTATTGTTTTCTAGGCCCAGTTAGCTGTACTATCAGCCCAGATCTCATGGTCTGAAGGCTTGGAAAAGGCACTGACAAAGGTGTCACAGAATCCATCTGCTGGCTTAGGCCCAATGCAGGAAGTCTTGAAGACAGTTGAGGGAACACTGCAAGTATTGGCCAACTCAGTTCTGCAAGAGCAGCCTCCAGTCAGACGAAAGAAGCTGGAACACTTGGTAAGTGAATATGAAATGTTGCTGAATCACATTTAAAAATAGAATTACTTCCGAGGAAATTAGTAATTCAACAAAAATTTACTGCTTGCCGGGCAGCAGACAAGATCTTTTAAAAAGAGTAGTCAATATTCCAAGTTAGCTTGGATTTCAGTAAAAAGATTTACAATACAATATATTGATAGTTATTTTCTTTCGCAGATCACGGAACTTGTCCATCAACGTGATGTAACTCGCGAGTTAATCAAGAACAACGTATGCGACCCACAATCATTTGACTGGCTGTGTCATATGCGATTCTACTTTGACCCGAAGAACCCTGAAGTCCTGGAGCAGCTATCCATCCGAATGGCCAATGCTAAATTCCATTATGGATTTGAGTATCTTGGTGTGCATGATAAACTTGTCCAGACACCACTGACTGACCGCTGCTACCTTACTATGACCCAGGCCTTGGAGAGCCGACTTGGCGGATCACCTTTTGGTAAATATTTTTAATCTTTATTTTTATATACATTCCAGATAAGGAAAAGATTATATATGTTTATGCAGGTTTCCGTCTTAAGCTTGGTTTCCATACAATCACTACACAATCGCTACAATGTTTTCCCTGCAATCCCTGCACTGCGTAACTGTTGCCGACGCAATCAGGAACGCTCCCTGATTCAACTGACCAATCAGCGTTGCCAAAGGAGCCGATTTTTATGGAAACCAAAGCTCAATTAAAGACCAGTTTTCTGTGATCCCAAATTAACAAATTTTTTAAAATCTTTATTATTCAAATTAGAGACCAAAGCTGCTAAAGACCATTGAAAACCTTGTCCCAGAATTAGTCTCCAGGTGGAGGAAACCTGTATTCAAGATACTAATTAACATTTTTTTATGGCATTTGAATTTTTTACATTATATATTTTATATATTGATGGAATAAATAAATGAAATGAAATGAATTGATTTACTTGCTTAGGTCCTGCTGGAACTGGTAAGACAGAATCTGTGAAAGCTCTTGGCAACCAACTTGGACGATTCGTATTAGTATTCAATTGCGATGAAAACTTTGATGTTCAGGTACATGTCTTAGTATGATTATTTAAAACAATCTCATGGTGCAGTCGATTAAATTTACTTCAGTAATGTCAAAAGTAAAGCTAGGAGAATAACCCATAGTTCACAGTTCTTGCACTCAATTGCATATAGGCGTGGTCTGTAAAGAAACGGTCTTTGGAATTACAAGCCATTGTACGACAGTTGCTGAAATTGACCATAGCATAAAGGCAGCCCCTCTGTTCTTCCGATCAAGCTCTTTAAAATGCAACAAGTTCTTTAAAATAAGTCCTTATCCGAGAAGACTTGGTTCTACTAGACGAGAAATACTGGACAAGTGCCAATGACTGTTTAGTTTGTATCGCCGCTGCTTTACTGCTCAGCCACTCGACCCGCATAAATTAATTTGACATTTGAATTCTAATAATATCCATGCTTTGGTTTGTAGGCCATGGGACGAATCTTTGTGGGACTTTGTCAGGTAGGAGCATGGGGCTGCTTTGATGAGTTCAACCGTTTGGAGGAGAGGATGTTGTCTGCCTGTTCTCAACAAATCCAAACAATTCAAGAGGCTTTGAAGGAGAAGGCAGCATCAGCAAAATCGAGTGGTGAGTACTTACATAAAGCACCTAATGATAATAAGCATAATATCATGTGTATAGTAATAAGCTTTATTATAACAAGCCTAGCTTTACCTGCATGTTAATAGATATGCATAATTGTGAGCAAGGTATCATCTGTAAGTTAATACTCTTGGCATCATGGTAATAATTATAGTAGTAGTTCATAGTTCACTTTATTTATACTTTCAGAAATTTGGTTTGATATTCAGTTGCACAAATGTTAGCAAGAAAAGCCTGCAGAATATAAAAAGCTTAATAGTAATCTTATATCTACAGTAGGCCAATATAGAAATTAGTATAAACTGTATGTTAATATGGTTGAAATGATAACAATATCACTATCAAATAAATGCAATTAACCTACAGTATGTACCATAGTAATAATAGTCAAAATATCACTTGTAGTAAATAAGATGTATCATAGTATCACCTGCATGTCATACAGTACTTATCAGATTTATCACATGTATGTTAATATTAAGCTAAATGTCTTCAGTCTCCACATAGACGGTTAGCTTGGTGTTAATAGATTGGAAATTGTTGTTTGGTTTTTTAAAAAATGTTGTATTTAATTAGAGGTTTCTCGAATTAGAAGGTAAACTGATGAACATCACACATCTTCCTTCTTTCAGAGGCAATCCAGGTGGAATTAGTAGGCAAACAAGTAAAGGTAAACCCAGACATGGCCATCTTCATTACAATGAATCCTGGCTATGCTGGTCGATCCAACCTCCCAGACAATCTTAAGAAGCTCTTCCGCAGCTTGGCCATGACTAAGCCCAACCGGCAGCTCATTGCGGAAGTTATGCTGTACTCGCAAGGATTCCGCATGGCAGAAAAACTGGCCTCCAAGATCGTGCCGTTCTTCAAGTAAATATTTTCATACTTTTTACCATTTTTTTTTTCAATAGAATTTTTAATTTTATTTAAAACTTAACCTGTAAATTTATAATTTTAAGTTTTCTCCATTAACTTTATTGAAACATACAATATAAATAATAATGTAGTAATAAAAATAATATAAATTTTTTTTACCCACAAGGCTTTGTGATGAACAGCTTTCTTCGCAATCTCACTACGATTTTGGACTGCGTGCATTGAAGTATGTGCTGGTTAGCGCCGGAAATGTGAAACGAGACAGGATCCTGATCATCAAAGAGGAAAGAAGAGAAAGAGGAGAAAGTGTGAATGAGGGTGAAATAGCAGAAGAGTTGCCAGAGCAGGAGGTGAAATTTTCCCCTTTTTTGTATTATATATAATGTTCTATATTTTGGACCTTATTATGGTAATGTTAATAAATCTACTTAATATAATTTTATAATTTAATTAGTTTTATTCTAATAACAGTTTGTGACTCCTTGTTACTAGAATGGAGTAAATTGTGTATTGTCAATTAATCAGTTAAAATTTGAAGGTTTGGTATCTTAAATATAAAGTCAATCATTTTAATGTATTCATTATTCTACAGATTCTGATCCAGAGTGTTTGTGAAACAATGGTTCCTAAGCTGGTCGCTGAAGACATCCCACTGCTGTACAGTCTGTTGACAGATGTCTTCCCTGGGATCCCCTACACCCAGGCAGAGATGAAGGGTCTAAGGCGCGAGTTGCAAAGGGTGTGTCAGGAGGCTCACCTTGTGTATGGTGAAGGGGAAGAAACAGGGGCAAACTGGGTAGAAAAGGTAAGATTTAAGGCATATATTTAAGTAACAGTATGTTTTGTATTTACTTTATTTTTGTAAGCCTGACATGTTCTCAGTAATTTTTTCAAACTGTTTAATTTTTTTAATGATTCATTTTCTATAGGTTCTGCAGCTATACCAGATATCCAATCTCAACCACGGTCTAATGATGGTTGGGCCAAGTGGTAGTGGTAAAAGTACTGCTTGGAGATCTCTTCTCAAAGCGCTGGAGAGGCTGGAAGGAGTTGAAGGCGTTGCACATGTTATCGACCCAAAAGCTATGACCAAAGAAGATCTGTATGGTATCCTTGACCCGAATACAAGAGAATGGACAGACGGTCTATTTACACACATTCTACGAAAGATCATTGATAATGTGCGAGGTGAAATTAATAAACGACAGTGGATTGTTTTTGATGGTGATGTAGATCCAGAGTGGGTGGAAAACCTAAACAGTGTCCTTGATGACAATAAATTGTTGACACTACCTAATGGTGAACGTCTTGCCCTTCCACCAAATGTAAGTGTACAAATAAAAATGTTATTTTACAGAGTACAGATATTCATGCTATTCATAGGTTTTCTTGGTTTGGATTTTTTTGCGATGACTAACCTTTTTATTGATATTTTTATTTTATTTGTTGGGGTTAACTTCAACTTATATACTGACTATAAGGTTATTAGTGTTGATGATGATGTTCATAATTCTTAAAAAGATGTAAATGATAATAATAAATATGAGGTTGCTGTTGATGATAATGTAGGTAGTGTGTGGTAATGGTAATGATGTTGATGGTGGTATTGGTGATGGTGACTTAACAGATTTTGTTTTTTCATCAGGAGAGTGATATTAAGGATCATTAAAGATAATGATAATGAATGATATTAATTAATTGCCTAAATTAACTTACAGGTGAGAGTAATGTTCGAAGTACAGGACCTACGCTACGCCACACTGGCCACTGTCAGTCGTTGTGGCATGGTGTGGTTCAGTGAAGACGTACTCAGCACGGAGATCATATGCGAGAACTTTCTCACAAAGTTGCGCAACATTCCCTTGGAAGAGGCAGAAGAGGAACCACGAAGAGGTGATGAAAAGGAGGGTGTGCTATCTCCAAATATGCAGGTAAAGTTCTTTTTTTTGTTTGCACATATTCCTAGCCATGTTCTGATTTGTCATTTGTAAAATTTTATTGGCACCCTGGAAGTGTTCATTGTAAGATTTAATACAACATCAAAGTGCTGTTGAATTATTATTATTTTAATATCTTTTTCTCAGATTCAGAATGATGTCGCGGCAGTACTTGCTCAACACTTTACGTCCGATGGCCTTGTTATACGTTGCCTGGAATACGCATCCACTCAGGAGCATATCATGGATTTCACCCGTTTGAGAGCGTTAGGTTCTCTCTTTTCTATGTTAAACCAGTCTGTGAAAAATATTATCCAGTACAACCATGCACACTCAGATTTTCCAATGCAGGTTTGTGGCCAATTTTATTGTTGTTTAGATAATAACGTTAAAATATAATGTATTTGAATAATTTTATTGGTTTGGTTATTAGCTGCAGAACTGTAACTCATAAGTTTACATTCATTGTGCATGATCTATTATTGACAAATAGTGTAATGTAAAGTATTAATTATATTACAGGTTATCTAGGTTTTTCTACACAAACAAATATGTAACCATGCTGTTCCCTATAGTAAACACTAAATAATTTGATTACCATGCTAACTTTACTCTGAAAGATTCCTGCTGAGTTTATGCTGAAATATTATGTATTGTCATGTCATTTGATGCGACTCTGGACAACAATATAATGTGTATACCTTAATCATGACCTACTGAATTATAAAAATGTTTTTTTTCCCCCTTTGTAGCAAGACCAACTAGAACGTTACAGTGTACGCTACTTGGTTTTCTCGTTAATCTGGGCGTTCTCCGGCGATAGTAAGATGAAACACCGTGATCAGATGGGAGAGTTTATACGAAACGCTACGACAATTCCACTACCACCTCAGGCTAACTCATCAGTTATTGATTTTGAGGTATGTTTTCCTTATTGTTTATTTTTATTTGTGTTTATTTATTGGCTTGTTAATTATTGTTCATTTTAATCTTACCTTATTGTAGTATTGTGCATGTCCCTTTTAATATATATATTTTTTTCCTTTGTGGAGAACCTCTTGGCTGTTATGTTTGATAACATTTACATAATTCTGCATCATTGAATTACTTTGTATTTTATTTTTTAATGAAAAATAAATATGATAATTGTTTATTATTCACTTTCAATTTTAATGAAGTAGGGTAGGTCATCTGGTAAATACATACTCTTCCATTGGGCACTGCAGTTTGTTGTGATAAATAATATTGTTCCTATATTTTTTTAAATGTGTCATTAAGATCTTTGTTTATAATACTGTAGAAAGCTTGAAATTTATAATAATAAAACCCCTATTTTCCCTGTCTCTCATTTGGAGTAGCTTCATTCATCTTTTTAAATTAGTAATATTGTATTCTAAGCCTTGTCCACACTATCACATTTGTAATATGCCTAAATATGGACATGATGACATCACATCATGACCATATATAGGCACATCATGACTAAATATGACCATGCAAAATTTGATAATCTAGACAGAGCTTTTGTGTTTGTGTTTTTGTTTTATTATACAGATTTGAACCGACTGTATACTTTTGTAAAAATAATTAAAATATATAATTAAAAGGTTTGTGAATGTTTTCTTTAACTACAGGTGGCCATCACAGGTGAATGGCAACCCTGGCAAGCTAAGGTACCTCAGATAGAAGTGGAGACTCACAAGGTGGCATCACCAGACATCGTCGTCCCAACCTTGGACACAGTTCGTCATGAAGCTCTACTTTATCTCTGGCTGAATGAACACAAGCCCATGGTGCTCTGCGGACCCCCTGGTAGTGGCAAGACTATGACCCTGTTCAGTGCTCTCAGAGCCCTGCCTGATATGGAGGTATAGTGTACAATTCATATAATTTCAAGGCCTAGGAATTGTCAGTGGTCACTGTGGAATTTGCTAGTAATTTGAGGCAACAAAACAGGCTCTCTGGCTCATTACACAGAGGAATAGCACCAGCGTGACTACACCAGCCGGGCCGAAGGGCCTGACCTTGAAGGGCCATGTTAAAAAAGGCCCCACTAGGGTCCAGATTTCAGCCGCATAATCCAAGATGATACTAATTGCGTGGTTGGCTGGGTGGTTTTGTTCAGGAAAGAGAAATTATGATCAGTGATACACAATTTTGTAATTGGTGCTAAAAATATTGTTAGATTGGTAATTATGAATTTGTGTTTCTACAGGTTGTTGGCTTGAACTTCTCAAGCGCCACCACGCCAGAGTTGATGTTGAAGACATTTGATCATTATTGTGAATACCGACGCACCCCTAATGGCATTGTGCTGTCCCCAATCCAGCTCAACAAATGGCTGGTAGTATTCTGTGATGAAATCAACTTGCCTGATATGGATAAGTATGGTGAGAAATACATAGTGTATTTGAGAAAATATGTATGTTTAATTTAGCATTACTGGATCCCAATAACAACAATGACGACATGAAATGACAGGCTTGACAGCTAAAGTTTCTTTTAACTGGTTATTTTTTGCCTTCTTGGATTTTGATCTGTATATTGTCTTAATGGCAAAATAAAAAATAAGAACTGTTTTAAACTATCAATTTTCATTTAACATATTGTTATTTACAATTTTTCTTTTAGGCACGCAGCGGGTTATTTCATTTTTGCGCCAAGTCTTGGAGCATGGTGGATTTTACAGAACTTCCGATGAGCAGTGGGTCAAGTTTGAGAGAATTCAGTTTGTTGGAGCATGTAACCCACCGACAGACCCTGGCAGAAAACCACTGTCACACAGGTACAGAATGTGATGAAAGAATCCCCTATCATGAAACTATATACCTTGTATTTGCACATAACAATAAATGATGGTAGTTTGTATTGATAATTTACAATATAGTGTTTCTATAAATATATTACCAATGGCTATCTTTGTTCTATAAATAGATTCCTGCGTCATGTGCCAGTCGTGTACGTTGATTATCCAGGCCCGGCATCTCTTGCCCAGATCTATGGCACATTCAACCGTGCCATGCTGCGTCTTATCCCAAGCCTGCGAACCTACTCGGAGCCTTTGACAAATGCGATGGTCGAGTTCTACATGATGTCACAAGAGAGGTTCACTCAGGACATGCAGCCGCACTACATATACAGTCCACGTGAGATGACTCGCTGGGTTCGTGGTATTGTTGAAGCTTTACGCCCTCTTGAGTCCCTACCAGTAGAAGGCTTGGTGCGTGTCTGGGCACATGAAGCATTGAGACTGTTTCAAGACAGGTAATATGAATATCTAGATATTTTTTCAATAATAATTCAAGCACAATTGAAAGTTAATTTCAAGATAGTGAAATTCCAATTTTGTTATTAATACTATAATCTTTCATTTCCATTTATTTTAACTTTCTGTTTTCCTTATCAACCAGACTTGTTTTGGATGAAGAACGACAATGGACTGAGGAGAATATTGATGTAGTAGCACTGAAGCACTTTCCAAACATCAACAGAGTTGCTGCCCTCAAGCGCCCGATTCTCTACTCCAATTGGCTGTCTAAAGACTACGTACCCGTGGACCAGGAAGAGTTGCGCGAATATGTTAAAGCTAGGTTGAAGGTAATGTTTAGATTTGTGAACAATCATGATAGAGGTGCTCATGGTTATGATTGTGAGTGGAGATATGTGTAAAAGAAAGGGTTGCCTTTTAAAGTAGTAAATTGATTTTAGAATTTGGTAATTCATTATTAAAGGTGTGCTTTTTTATCACCAGATCTTCTATGAAGAGGAATTGGATGTACCTCTAGTGCTGTTCAATGAGGTACTGGATCATGTGCTCAGAATTGACAGGATTTTCAAGCAACCACAAGTAAGTGCAAAGTATAGCAGCAGTACCATGACTGTGTTGCAACTTTCTGGCAACTCTCGCTTGTCTATAATTAACATAAGTACGATAGTGTGTTATTAGATTGTAATAATTATTCCTGTTATCTTCCTTAGGGCCATTTACTGTTGATTGGTGTAAGTGGTGCAGGCAAGACAACACTGTCTCGTTTTGTTGCGTGGATGAATGGACTCAGCATCGTTCAAGTGAAGGTACATCGCAAATACACTGCAGAAGACTTTGACGAAGACCTGAGGATAGTATTGCGTCGCAGTGGTTGCAAAGACGAGAAGATCTGCTTCATTATGGACGAATCAAACGTTCTTGACTCAAGCTTCCTGGAGAGGATGAACACACTACTAGCAAATGGAGAGGTCAGCTTATTGACTATATTCCAAGTTAAATGATAATACGACTAGCAAATGAAGGCAATTGTTAAAATCAAAATTATTGCTTAAAATCATGAAATTGATTTTTATTGTCTTCACTTTTACTGTATTTTATTGTTGACAATGCTGCTGTTAATACTTTTGTTGTTGCTGCTGCTGCTAATCTTGTTGGCATTTTGTTTTTGATGTTGCTAAGTTGTTTATGTACAATATCTAATTGTGTTTTCTAGGTTCCTGGTTTGTTTGAGGGAGACGAGTACACAACTTTGATGACACAATGTAAGGAAGGATCTCAGAAACAAGGCTTGATGTTGGACAGCACCGAGGAGCTGTATAAATGGTTCACAGAACAGGTGATGAAGAATCTCCATGTGGTGTTCACAATGAACCCATCGTCAGAAGGCCTCAAGGATCGAGCCGCAACATCTCCAGCTCTTTTCAACAGGTACATTTCTAAACCAGATGATCATGATAAAAAGGACTTTAGGTGGTTGTTTGGATTTCTTTACTTTATACTTAAATATCTGTTTGCTATATTTTTTTCAGGTGTGTGTTGAATTGGTTTGGTGATTGGTCCAATCATGCCCTCTATCAAGTTGGTAAAGAGTTTACCAACAAGGTTGATCTTGACAAATCAGATGTAAGTAAATGCTGCATAATCCACTATCATAATAATTTTACTCAAGTACTGCCTCTTACTTTTTATTGGCCTTGATTTTTTTTTAAATTTTTTCCTGGGTGGTGATACCATTTTCTTGATTATTTATGGATTTTTCTTATTTCTGAATTTTAGTACCGAGTACCAGACTATTTCCCGAAGGCATTGGATGACCTGCCAAAAATTCCAACTCACCGGGAAGCCATCATCAACGCGTATGTCTTTGTACATCAAACCCTCCACCAGGCTAACAGCCGTTTGCAAAAGCGTGGTGGTCGTGTGATGGCCATCACACCAAGACACTATCTGGACTTCATCAACCACTACGTAAGTTATCATTTGCTGTTTGGACCTAATTGGTTACACATTTTTTACTTCTCAGTCATTCTTTAAAATAAAAAAAAACATTAAAAAAAGGAAGTTTTGGAATTCACCTTTATTTAGTCATACTTTGAGAATTGACCTTTAATTGGTCATATGACAGCATATACTTTGAGAATTGACCTTTAATTGGTCATGTGACAGCATACACTTTGAGAATTGACCTTTAATTGGTCATGTGACAGCATACACTTTGAGAATTGACCTTTAACTGTTAATGTGATGTACAGGTAAAGCTCTACAATGAGAAGCGGTCAGATTTGGAAGAGCAACAGCTCCATTTGAATGTTGGACTACAGAAGATCAAAGAAACTGTTGACCAGGTGGCAGAGATGAGGAAGAGCCTGGCTCAGAAGAGGAACGAATTGGAAGCAAAGAATTCAGCTGCTAATGCCAAGCTAAAGCAGATGGTAAGCCACATGATGAGTCACATGGTATATCACATTAGCTTCTCAGAATGTAAATACAAACATTCTCCAGAAAAAATGTGAATTAGATGTATTTAAAAAATTGATAAATCTTCAGTAGCTTAGTTGTAGCTTGTGTTTATATTATTTGAAGCTGATTTTGTTGCCTGCCTATGTTTAATCAAACCATATTTACTGCAATTTTCTCAGTTTAGACTTGTTAATAGTATTGGTGTTTTATTTTTAGGTGAAAGATCAACAAGAAGCTGAGAAGAAGAAAGTAACGTCACAGGAGATCCAAGCAAGACTCACTAAACAGACAGCTGAGATTGAAGAAACAAGAAACTTTGTGATGTCTGACCTCGCAAAGGTCGAACCAGCTGTCCAAGATGCTCAGCAAGGTGATTAACATCATTCACTGGTGTATCAGAAGGAGTTTAAGATAATAATGTGGTGAAGGAATGGTGTATGGTGAAGTAAAGGTGTTATGGTGAAGGGTGTTTTAACAGAAGAGAGGGAATTTAAGTTGGGTGACTGTTGAGGTACTGTAGGGAGACTGTTGAGGTGGGTAGGCTGTTGAGTGTGGGTAAAAAAGCAAAAAAAAAAATGTCCCTCATTCCATGTTGTAAGGAATAATTTCATTTAGTTATTGGTAAACACCATTGAAAAAATGAGTAATTAGCACTTAATCATAATAAAAATATGTTGGACTTAATTTATAGCGCTTAATGCCTACAAGGCTTTCAAGCACTTCACAATATTACACCCAGTCATTGGAGCAGGCACATATGGAACACATACTGTACTCAGCTCCCTGGGAGAATTCCATAATGTTGCAGCTGTAATCAGTGCATTTTGTGTTTAAGCCTACAACCCACTTGTACTCCAAGGTGGAGAGGGACAACCTTAAGTAAAGTGAGGACACAAGCAAAATGCACGGCGAGGGATTGAACCTCTGACCTCAAAGTTAAGAAGCAGAACCCCAACAACTGCACCAAACCACTTAACCATTACCATTGTGCCATGGATACTGTCGCTATACAAATGTGTGTTTATTGATTGATTGATTGCTGGAGTGATTGATTGATAGTTGAGATTATACATAAGAAAAATGAAGCGTCTATTTTTTGGGGTGATTGGATATGTATATATGTTTGTGTGGGAGTGTGGTTGAGAGTGGATGTGTGTGTCGGTCTCACATTGACCATTTACATTGTCGCTTACTCTATAACAGCTGTGAAGGGCATTAAAAAGAGCCATTTGGTTGAGGTGCGTTCTATGGGCAACCCTCCAGCTGCAATCAAACTCACCCTGGAGTCTATCTGTCTCCTCCTCGGCCAATACACTACCGATTGGAAAGCCATCCGTGGTATCATCATCAAGGATAACTTTATAAGCACCATTGTAAATTTCTCAACAGAGGACATCACGTAAGTTGTCACTTACTTTTTAATAATAGACATTAATGAAAGGTAATGAAAGAAAATCAAATATTAGCTGACATATTCCTATCTGCTGCTGTATTATTGTATTATAAATAAGATTTCTTAGATAAACTGATTTCTGCTACTGTCAGGTTTTTCATCTAGTTATGAAAAGAGACAGAGAATGTGTGGTGTAGGGTAGTTTACATAAGACAAAAATAACAAATAATTTATTTTGTGCTTACAATTTATTAATTTTTAAAATATTTGAATAGTTTCTTCTGATAGTAGGTGTACATCAAATTGAGCTTGGTACTTTGTACTCTACTTTCAAATGTTATTAATCTTCATTATATGATAATGATAAGTCTACATTATGTGATAATGATCATCATTATAAATTTATAGTATATATTAATACATTGTTTGGTGTCAGACTTTCCTATAGATTCAAATACTCGTATAAATTTGATTTATCTTCAGTGAACAGATCCGCAAGACCATCCAGTCTAAGTACCTCAGTGATCCAAATTACAACTTTGAGAAAGTAAACAGGGCCAGTTTAGCATGTGGACCACTTGTGAAGTGGGCAATTGCACAGGTAGGGCTAGTAGAAGTTAATAACATATTAATTATCTACATCAAAATCTGTTAAGCCTTACTAATTGTCTTTGTGCTAAACCGTTTTTGAGTCCGGGCAAGGCAGACACCAGAACCTCACTGCTATTTGATGTTGATGTTGTTGTTGTTAACCAGAACTTAAAGAGCGTCCAGCGTCGCCAGTTTCAAATGGACTTTTTGTACACATAAACTAGAGATTATTTCCAAAAGAACATTCATGGCCTCTTTTTTAAGTTTGACCCAAGGGTGCCCTCTACACCTACAAAACAAAACAGGGGCAAGGACTGTAAATTACTGCCATTACCACTAATAGGGACGTCGCATTGATGGCGCGGTCGGTTAACGATGTGTTCTAAAGAAGTAAAGGTGGTGTGTTCGAATTGTGTCTTGGTATTAAATTTTTTTTCAATTTTAAGACAATTTATTTTTACTTTTTTTAAAAATTTTTTTTTATTATGAATTCTTGTGGAACCCAGTATAATAACTTACGCCACTGTGTACTGTATTTAAGCATGGAGGATATTTCGTCCATGATTTAAGCATGTTTTAATAGTGTCAACATAAAGCCTTGTCTGAAAGGTGCATACGCGAAGCGTTAAACGCTGAATAGAGGTAACCTCAGTTTAATGCGCAAAGCGGTGAACGGTCGCTCTTGTTCATGAAGCCCGACACTCACTGTATCGTAAGACTGTTGGCCAACGAATCCTACTCCGTACCCTGTGAGCAGTAGATGACGTAACGTCGTCTGCTGATTGTCAGTGGCAGTCCAAAAAGATCGTCATTAAAATCAATTTGTTGCGCGTGCGTTGGGGCATTATCTCCTCCATTGAATCGCATCAGCAACGATCGTCGGGAGCGGGAGCGCCGGGCTTAAGTCTTAAAAATATGTTCACTATTTTTATTATTTCAGATAAGTTATGCGGAGATGCTTCACCGTGTGGAGCCACTGCGTAACCAACTGAAGGAACTCGAAGGGAAAGCAGAAGAGAACAAGCGAGAAATGGATGAAGTGAATCAAGTGATCGATGGTCTAGAGCGTAGCATTGCTAGATACAAAGAGGAATATGCGCAGCTGATTAGTCAAGCGCAGGCTATCAAGTCCACGTTGGAGGCAGTTGAAATAAAGGTATGTGGGGGAATGCAGCCTAGCATCCAAATTAACCGAAGTGAATTTAATATAATATTTAAGTAATAACAAGAATAATTAATAACTGATAGTTTCATGCTTCAATTCATCCAATGGAATGTGCTACAAGCAAGCACTACATTACAACCAATTACAGGTATACAGAGCTCAGGATGTTAACATTTTTATGATCTATTTCAGGATGGATAATATCATTTGACCATATGGAATTAATGCTTTAATATTATTATCTCTTAATTTGTTTGTTAGTTTTTTTACGATACACTATATTTTCTAAAAAAACAAATTTTTCATTCTGATTTCCAATTAGGTGAACCGCAGCACAGCCCTCTTGCGTAGTCTGTCAATGGAGAGTAAGAGATGGGAGACTAGCAGTGAATCGTTCAAGGCTCAGATGAGCACCATCCTCGGTGACGTGTTGCTGTCCTCGGCCTTTATGGCCTATGGCGGTTACTTTGACCAACAGATGAGGCATAACCTATTCAGCACATGGTCCGCCCACTTGCAGCAAGCTCACATCAAATACAGGCATGATATAGCTAGAGTTGAGGTAGGTGTACAGGGGATGGTAGACATTGAGTGGCTGTGGTATCACATAATATGAGAAAGTGATCAGTTTATTGCGTAAATGCCGTGTGCTTAGACATTATTATTGGTGTTTATTTAAGTGATATATGACAAAGATTGGGACTGCTTTGGAGTGGGGTATCTCAGATATACTTTTTGACTTTACCTTTGTTTATGATATCAAATAAGTCAAATCAAATAAAAATAGCTGTAATAATGATATATTATGCCTTTATTTCACAAACCCATAGTACAAAGTGGTTTAGACTGACATATACAGTACCATTAGAATTATTTTCTTCCCATTCCATTATATATAAAGAGAGACATGCCTATATTTGTCATGATGACATCACATCATGACCATATAGGCACATCATGACTATATATGGGCATACAACAAAGATTTCTGATCTCTGCAGTACCTATCAAATGCCGATGAGCGATTGCGCTGGCAGACCAACGCCTTGCCCAAGGATGATCTGTGTACAGAAAACGCCATCATGTTGCAACGATTCAATCGTTATCCGTTGATCATCGATCCATCAGGACAAGCTACAGAGTTTCTCCTCAACGAGTACAGGGACAAGAAGATCTCCAAGACCAGGTACTGTAGAATACTCGATGATTCAATGTCCTCCTCTCCAAATTAGATATTAACTGTTGGTCGGATACAGTCATAAGAAAATTGTTATTTCGATCAAGTTAGTTGTAAACTTGTACTGTTGGTGGCTAAATCTGAGAAAAACGTAACACATTTAAACATTTTTTTGTTGATTTAAATAACTTTTGCTACCAAAACACTTACATTCATTACCAACCAATTTAATGGTCTATACCCACAATATAGAAACTGTCATTTATGCCAGCCAGCGTTCTGCAATATTTTAGACTGATGACCTAATTTTGAAATTAGGACATGACCCCTTTGTATGCCTAATTGAAAGTTTAAGTGGTATTTCCTTAGACCACCTTTGCATATGTTATTAAGTAAATTTCCTCTTTTGTTTTTTCAGTTTCCTGGATGATGCTTTCCGTAAGAACTTGGAAAGTTCCCTTCGATTTGGCAATCCACTTCTTGTACAGGTAACTGCTTTCCTACAGATCAAGTGCTTTGAATCCTTGTTGTGCATTACGCTTGTGTCCTTGAATAAAACACCATACTTAAGGCTCGAAAACCAATGCTCTGATTTGAATTGCTAATGTATGGTCAACATAATGTCAAATCACACATATATATGGGTTTTTAATGTCATAATTATAACAATATATAGGCAAGTCTCAGGTATTTCTTTTATTAAACTTGATTGTGTGGAAAAAGCTTCAACACTCCTATATCATATGCTATGTGAGGATAAATTGTAAATAATGCTATGTTAGTGTGTAGGTTATCTCTTGAAGTTTATGGATGTATGGGTTACTCAAACATTTTGAAAACTTTTTTGACAATGCATGTTGGTTCTGACAAAATGCTAGCCAAAACTTTGCTACAATATTTGGTTACTACAATCTTGGAAATATTCTTGATGTAACCCCTGAGACAGGTGATAACAGGTTACAGGAATAGCACCTGACCAATATATCAGATATTGCTTATATTTTTTTAATAGGATGTTGAGAGCTATGATCCTATCCTGAATCCTGTGCTGAATCGAGAAGTACGCAGAACAGGTGGTCGTGTCCTGATATCGCTAGGCGACCAGGATATTGACTTGTCACCATCATTCACCATCTTCCTGTCGACAAGAGATCCAACAGTAAGTTAGAACATATTTGTCTATCTATGCCAGCCCGGTGGCCCTCTTAGTACAATACTTGTCTCATCCACAACAGCCGTGGCATTCCCTATTGAAAATTCTCATCTACACCAGCCTGGTATTCTCATAGCAAATACTCATCCACACCAGCCTGGCAGCCCCATAGCAAATATTCACCTCATCTATGCCAGCCCGGCTGCCCTCTCGGGTGCAGTAAATACTCATCTCATCTACTCCAGCCCTGGCATCACCTAAAAACTTACAAATTTTGTGTCTCATCCACACTAACCTGGCAGCCTGCAAATATGCATGATCTCCTCATATTATTGTGTCTTATCCTATTTCAATAAATTTCCATATGATAGGTTGAGTTTGCTCCCGATATCTGCTCCAGAGTAACCTTTGTCAACTTCACTGTGACCAGAAGCAGTCTGCAGAGCCAGTGCTTGAACGAGGTACTCAAATCTGAACGACCAGATATTGATGAGAAACGATCAGATCTTCTCAAACTGCAAGGTGAGTAGAGTATTACTTTAAAAATGTATATGGAAGGCTTTAATTAAGGTTATTCAAGGTGATAAAACATTTAAAGCATCAAATTAAATTCAGGATATCAACATTTTTTTGTGTTTTACTAAATACCTCCATTCCAATTTTTCTTTTAGGAGAGTTTGCTCTGCGTCTACGCCACTTGGAGAAATCATTGTTGCAAGCCCTAAATGATGTCAAAGGTCGAATCCTTGACGATGATAGGTATGATAGTAGTGTGAAATTTGTTTCAATTGCTCAAATTTTGTAATATTCATGTTTTAACAAAGCCAATGTAGATCATCATGTGACTTGTCATACCCTTCTTTCATTGCATTAGATATTGATAGTCCTACTACACTGTTGCTTTTGTTTTTTGTGCAGCATTATCACTACTTTAGAAACCCTAAAAAAAGAAGCCGCTGATGTCACTAAAAAGGTTGAGGAGACTGATGTTGTGATGGCAGAGGTAGAAACAGTTTCTCAACAGTACAACGCCCTCGCTCAGTCATGTAGCAGCATTTACTTTACACTGGAGGCCCTCAATCTGGTAAGATTTTATGTTACTATTAGACCTACAAACTTGTAGGACTTGTCTTAAACACTCTTGAAAATAATAGAATCATCCATTCAGCAATCATGTAATAGTGTATGGTATTAGCTATATCCCAATATTCAGGTGCTTTACAACTAAAGGTTAAGGTAGGAGAATAACCCATAATTCACAGCGTCATTATGCTAAATTGCATATGGGTGTGGTTTATGACTACTAAGCCACTGATGAGCGCAGCATCATATCCACGTCATTCCAAAACAATAGGGCTGAAATATACTGTAGCATCGGGGTAACTCCCTACTCTTCGTTCTTTAAATTGCACACAAGCCATTGTAAGTCCTTATTTGAGAAGACTTAGTTCTAGCAACCAAATCCTGGACAAGGAGCATATCGACTAGCGCTGATGATGTGGCCGTAGTTAGTGGAGCCCTTTCCTTACTGTTTGGCCACTCATCTCACCCAATCACAGTGATCTTGAGTGCAGGGTGTTTATATTTGTTACAGGTAAAGAGGATAAATTTTGGTTCACCTAAAATATCTGAATGTTTTGAAAATATTGTAATATATTGTCAATATTTTAATCATATTATATAAATACTATTTTATATATTTTATAGTCTAATATATTCTTTTGTGTATGACTTTTCCTGAAATATAATTTAATTTGATCAATTTTTGTGTAGGTGCATTTCTTGTACCAGTTTTCACTGCAGTTCTTCTTGGAGATGTTCCATGCAGTGTTGTCTGAGAACAAGCACCTGAAAGGAGTCACCGAGCACTCTTCACGCCTCTCCATCATTACTAAAGACCTATTCCAGGTGAGAGACACAAAATCCAAACTGAATTGATTTCAGATTGATAGCATAGCAAGTGTCATCACTTTTAATGAAGACTTAACATGCTCTATTGTTTTTAATATAATGCACCCATTTTCTGAAGCCATTGTCTTTTTTGTATTGGAATTTATATTGATAGTATTATTTTACTTTTTTTTTTAATATGGCTCATTCTTTGGTTTGGGTAAAACTAATCATTTTTGTCATTATTTCTGTTATAATTTCGAGAAAACCGTAATTTGTCATGATATTACTTAAAAAAAAGAACATTAAAATAAAAAGTAATATAGAAATATTATGAGTTAAATTTATTACATGAATGATGATGTGGTTGATTGATTGATTGGCACTCTCATCTTTGGTGTTGTTTTTCTGTAGATGTCCTTTAACCGTGTAGCACATGGAATGCTCCATGAGGATCACATCATGTTTGGCATCCTCTTGTCTCGAATCCATCTGAAAGGTATCTCAAGGTAGGACAATTAAATTAATTTTATTTACATATCAGCACCTAGGCCAAAATTTTCTGTTATTTAATTTGCCCATTTATGATGATGTCATATTGCACATATATATGGACATGATGATTTGATATTACACACTGGTAATGGTATTAGTCTGATAGTGGACACAACTTAATGCAACATGTCAGTCCTTTAAGCTCTGTTGAGACTAATATTTTATTTGAAAAAAACATGCCTAAATATGGTCATGATGACATCACATCATGACCATGTATAGGCACATCATGACTATATTTGGGCATACAGTTCAGTTTTTTAAATTAAATTTGATAGTGTGGACAGACCCTTACACATACATGACAGAATGTGCTTTTCATTACGATGGAGAACAATGGACAATGAAACTTAACTATCCAATCAGAACAGGTCCATGAATATGCGCCGGTCTCACAAACACACGTGTTGTCCCACAAACACACAATGCTGCCTAAAATATGTTTCCTTGTACTGTTAAAAAAAATAAATTGTGGAATTTTCATCCAACTTTCTAGTGAGCCTGATTACAATGTGGAGTTTGATCATTTCCTGAGAGGTGCAGAGCATTCCCTTAAATCAGAGAAGCTCCCTAAAGTGGAGAATCTAACAACTGATCAGGTGGCGGCCATGATGCGTCTGACAAACTTACCAGCCTTCAAGGGGCTCTTTGAATGGGTCAATTCCAAAGATGTAAGTGTACTTTATTTCCTCATATATTCACCTGTCTCCCGCCCAGCATCAGGTATTGATGAACGGGTACCGTATTAATGGCTGTCCTCAGCAGTTTATTTATTGTTTACATTATTATTTTGTTAATCATTACTGTAATTCATTACTAACTTCATGATATATTTAGAAGAATGTTTTACATTATTATTTTGTTAGTCATTACTGTAATTTGTTGCTAACTTCATGATATATTTAGAAGAATGTTTGAGGACAAAGATGTAAATATTGTAATGGCATTTGTCACTAATGCAAATCATTTCTAACTTGTTTATTTTGTGTATTTTGCCATTTTATTTAAACCTTATTTAGTTGTTATTAATGAAGCTTTTAATCTATATTTATGTGGGCTGTTTTGCAAAATCTCTTTAAATCATGTTGTTTTTGTATGTACAGTGGTCATGATAAAGAATATATATTAAAAGAAAACACTAATTTCATGATATGATCTTGCTAATAAAACATTTTTTATTTTATATTCTTGAATGTACATGTAAAGACTACTACTTATTTTAACTAATTTCCTTTTTGTCATTGTTGTTTTTATTTTACAAATGTTAATACGATCAGGTTAACCTTGAGTTTGGCTCATGTACTCTGAGGGTTAGTAACAAGCAACTTGATTGCATTCATCATTAACTTCTTTTTTTACCAATTTTTAATTTTTTTGGTGGTTGTATGCTGGTGGCAGAACACCTATTTCAAGAATCATCTTATAAATATATGTAAATTTATGTTAATTTAGAGTCGAAGATCTAATTACTGGTATGTTACATTTTAATATGATAAGTCCTGGTATTGCTCACCATATTGGTGTATGGAAGCATGTCATTTGATGTGTAGGCTTTGGGCTTTGTGTCATGACCACATGTGTTGGCACTATATAAACAATGTCTCTCTCTCTCTACCAAAAAGTAAAAGTAGAAACCTTAATTTGATTGGATAGGATTCATTCAGTGTGAACACGTAGGATAACCTATGAAAGTTGAAGATTTCCAGTGGGGGTCTTTCTGGTGGTGATTGAGCAGTAGGCTGAGAGACATCACCATATACTTTTCCAAACAGTTTACTGTGTTCTTTATTGTGTACATAGCCATAATGCACAGGACCAACAGCTTAAATGGTCCTTCAAAAAGATGATGCGCTCTTTTATTTAAGACTGCCAGCTGAAAATTAAGGAGAGGATGGGATGGAATTGAAGTGGGACCTCCACGGTTCAGCACACAAACAGCTACCACCAGTTTAGCAGACTGAGCAAATGTGGTTAGGTTTATTTGCCAGATCATTAGTAATACTAGTTTTAATGAATACTTCCTCAGGGGCCTGCATATTTTTGTCACATGATTTATTGACAGGTTTTAGTAGTGTTGAAGTTTTAGTAGAAATGTTGGCTTTAGGGGCAATAAATTAATGATGTATAAATGTAGCATTATTAATGTATAAATGTAGCATTAATAATGTATAAATGTAACATTAATATTGTAAATTGTTGGTTCTCTACTTTCTTGATGTCCAATACTCTAAAACCTATTATTATTATTCTTAATAAGTTTATTATGTTATCATTTTTTAACTTTAAAAGGTGCTGTAGGTGTTGTTTTGAATATTTTTAGGGGTTTGTTCTCTGAATTTACCTTCTTTCACATTGCATGTATTTTCTAACATTTTTTTTAAACAAAGGAGAGTATAGAATCCGTACATTAGTATAGCTTAACGTGTGTGAAAAGCATGGCATGTTGTTTTTATTATTATGTTACACTAAGGTAGTGAAGAGTTATACCCCAGGAGAACTCACGGTATACAGTACAATGTAAAATATTTTTTATTCTTTTCAAATCATGGGAATTCTTAATCTTAAATCCTTATTGTTTTTATTAGCCATTTATCTTTATTTATTCTTGTGTTTCAAATACATCCCAAGAAAATTGCAGTGAATTTGATTGTTTTCATAAATTTATATTTTATTTTTTCTGAAGAATAATGAATATACCTTGATTATTACTGTCACATACAGTAATAATCAAGGTATATTAATTATTCTGAAGAATAATGAATATACCTTGATTATTACTGTATGTGA